CATTCCACCCTCCTTCGCCACCTTTAGATCTCGTTGGCCAGTGCTTCCCCCTACCATGTAGTGGGCTGTCATGGAGGCGCCTCCCCTAAGCGATTGTTGTCCAATTAGCAACATGCATCTCCTGAGCAAACATGAGGAGAGAGGCCGGTGGTCTCCATGGGGAGACTGGACGGTGATGCTTGGACCACAGTTGCAAGCAGCACTACACCGTTGCTGAGACAGGGTTGCAACATTACTGCGAGCTATGACACGATGACATTCGGCAATGCCGCAAGGGCTGCGGAGCTGCAAACATGCATCCATTTTTGGGAGCCTGTCTAGTGATGATATAACCATTGTTGCAAGGTCGTCATGCTCCAGATAGTATTGCAAAGACAGCCGCTGTCCAAGGGTGCAGTATTGCTTCAAAGTACCGTTGGTGCCGCAAGCCACAGCGGCGAGGGTGTCGGTGTGCTACAAGAAGACCAACGGACGCTGCTAGCCGGAGTTGCAGGGACGACGAGGTCCATTGCGAGCAAATCCATATAATACTGCAGGGAGAAGACAGGGCTGCTGCAGAACTGACGTTTGTTGCAAGGAGTGCACAACTGACAATATCCTGAGGGCGCGTTCCATTGCTAGTGATGCGGTGAGGCAGCTAGGAGCGGCAGAGTCAACGATGTTAGGATGTTGTGATGGCTGTTGTTGACGATGATGCCACGGTCGACACGATTTCTGCGAGCAGCGTTGTTGGCAATGTTAAGATGACCGACACGGTGTTGCGGTACAGAAAACATGGTGCTATGAGTGGTGTTATTGTGTGGGTGCGAGGTGGCTGCACAGGCATGAGGTGACGGTGGACAATGAGACGAGGTGCTGCAATTTGGATCCAACGGCCATAGGAACTAGATCCAACAGCTGACGACCCGGTTGACCCTATGTAAGGACGGGTCGGCTGAAGCCTAGCGGGTGCCTGATTCTAGAAAGTTCCATAACTATTTGATTCAAGTTCCATAAATCCAAACATCCGCTGGGAATCGGCGCGACTTCCTCGCTTGGTTCCCGAAGAAGAACAGTCTCTTTACTGTAAGAAATGCATATCGGCTGGATGCGACCAAGCATGACAAGTCTTTCGCTGGTGGTGCCTCTAGCTGCCAGCCCAACGGTGAGCGTTCTATCTGGATCTGTATTTAGCGTGCACAAGTGCCACTCAAGAAAGCGACGGCCGGTGGGCTAGCTACGAACCAGTGCAAGATATACAAACATATATCCAAACGACTTGCATGTTCAGTGTGTGCGCGTGGAAGTGGAAGGGAGGCTTCCATGCACTACTTTCATGCAGCCATGCACGGGCCATCTGGGAATCTATAAGAGAAATTTGACCGCTCCCGCAAAATGAACTACTACAAGTCAATAATGGAAAAAGAATAAATTCTTCATCTACTTGCTACTTGCACAGTTGCACTGATCGAGTACCTGATATGGTCATCATTTTAGTTTGGCGCATTTGGAACTTGCGCACACAGATCTGATGCATGGTAAGGAAATTCCCCCAGTTGGAACGAGTGTTGATTTTTTGGATAGTCACTTGAAGTTAATGAAACAATCAAAGTAACTACACCACTGTGGAAATCATTAAAGGTAAAATGCCTTACCATGCATCAGGCTTACGGAGGCTTACTCTAAGCCGTCTGTCAAAGTATGTACTCTGCTAGGCCACCCTGTGCCGCCCTCAAGACGAGTAGCCCTCTTTGTTGACGACTCCTTCTTGGCGACGGCACGACGGCTGCAGGTACGGTGTTGAGAAGTCAGGTTGGTTTGATGGTCTTTGCGACGTATCGGTACCTCTTTAGAGCATCTCCAACAGCCACCCAACGCGTTATCGTCAGGTTTGACGTGGCTCACAGCGCTGGCTTCAGCAGCCGCGATAAAATACAGCGCGCGTGCGTAGCTCCAGCAGGCACGCTAAAATGCACAGCGCGCGCTCTCGCACAAATACTTTGCATACAAATTTTGTTCATAGATAACGATACATAGTTCTCATAACATAGATAAGAAAACGATACAAAGATATTTTACATAGTTCATAGCATAGATAGATAAAGAACTACAGTGCAACTAGATAAAACTACGGTGCAACTAGATAAATAAACTACGGTGCAACTAGAACGTACTTCCAGTCGTCCTCATCATCATCATCATCATCATCATCATCATCGTCCTCGGTGGTGTTGTCCGAGGTATCGAGCCAGATGTCTTCCCAACGGTTATCGTCGTGGGAGAAGATCGACGTCCCGTCTGCCTCGACGATATCGCACTGCAATATGGCCAGTGCCTTGCGCTGACGCCGGCACGCTCCGCGCGACGCCTTGTCGTCCTCTCCGCCCAGAAGGCGTTCTCGGAGGCGATGTATTCCGGGTGGCGCCGGCGCCACTCCGCCATGGCTCGCTCGTCCTCCTCTGCGATGAGGAGGCGGTGTTGCAGCCGACGGTGGTCCTCACGGTCCTGGTCTGTAATCAGACGAAGCGGAGGGGCGACACGCTGCGCCTGCTCGCGTGTGTAGACGTCGTGGAAGTTCAACTGCGTGCGAGGCCTCTCTAGGCGCCACGCCGCCGCGTCGTACGCGCATGCTGCCTCGTGCGCGGTCTTGAACGTGCCGAGGGCGAGGCGGATGTCGCCGGACCGGATCTTGGCATCGTAGGCGCCGGAGGGGCGCCGGCGGACGCCGCGGTAGCTAGATGATCCCCGGCGGCATGGTGGAGCGGAGGTGGCGGGGTGCTGAAGCGGCGAGGAAGCGGTGGAAGCGGCGAGAAACGGGGAAATACGCGCGTGGCAATGTGCTGGAGCGCGTGGCGAGTGCCGCACTTTATAGGCGCGCGCGAAGCAGCGCGCGAAATCTACCGCGCGACCGACAGCTTTCTTCCGCGCGCGCCTGTTTTCCGCCGTCGCTGGGGCGCGCGAAAACTTGCCGCGCGCTACATGGGTATTTTACCCCGCGCGCGTGTCTTTTGGCATGGCTGTTGGAGATGCTCTTAACTGTAGTGAGGCTATTGAGGCAGAGATCCATGTGCTAATGCAAGGTATGGCTGTGGCTATGCATCATACGGAGCTGCCAGTAATTATTCAATCAGATTCTTCCAAGGCGGTCTCCATCTTAACGAATGATAACCTGTTGCGGTCCGCTTATGTGCTCCTAGCCGCTGAGGTTGTCTCAGTTGTAGGAGAGGCAGTTTTTTTTTTTAGGAGAGGGTGTTTATTCCCTAGAAACTTACTAGGGATCAGAATGAGGTAGTTGATTGTCTAGCTAATTATAATCATACTTACGGAATAAAACTTTCATTTTCCTTGCAAAAAAATCAACAAATGAAAAATAAATAAATATTCAAAACATGTTCAACATTGATGTGTTTTAAAGAAGTTAATTGCAAGAAATCACCACATTTAGGGCATCGATTGCAGAAAACCACCCATTCCCTAAATTTGTGCAAAAATCAACGTGTTTCTAGTAAACTTTTTGCAAATTGCACCGATCCGGTGATTTAGCCTGATTGATCACTTTCTGACAAGTGGGGCCAGATTGTAAGGAGATGATTTGGTAAAAATTGACATACACCTCCAGGATTTCACAAAGACACCCTTATTCAAAAATTGAAAAAGCAATCAGCCCCCTCCCACACCCGTCGCCTTCCTCCTCTGTGGTGGCTGGCCACGGTGAGGCGGCCTCCAGCGGGACAGCCTCCATCCTCCCTGGCCTTGCTCGTGGGCGGGGCGGCCTCCCTCCTCCATGGAGGAATTTGGAGCTCGCAACCTTGAAGGCTGGCGGCCCCTCCAGTCCCCGAACAACGCCGGGGAGCGGGGGAGGTGCTGTGCCGGGGTGTTGCCATGGAGGAAGTCAGAGCTCGAGCTCCATTCCTGCATCGCATGGTCGGATGCAGAGGCATCGTGCCCCAATACGCCGTCGCCGCTCGCCAAGACGCTGCCAACGGCCCAATCTACAGAATCCCAACCACCACGCGAACGAGGAGGCATCGTGCGCCAGGACGCCGCCACCCACGGCTGCTGCTGCTCGTCGTCGCTCCAGCATCCCCGGCCTAGCGCGAGCACGCCCCTCCTGTGGCCCAGCGCACCTCCGCCGGCCGTCAGCCCAGCGCGTCACTCCGGTGTCCCCGGCCGAACAGCGCGGTGGAGGCCAGGAACCCGACGCCCAGCGTGCCTCTGCTCGGGGGTGGGGGCTGATTGCTTTTCTGTTTTACATCAAGGGGGGGGGGGTGTGTACATTTTTTGCTCTGACAATCTGGCCCCACTTGTCAGAAAGTGGTTAAAAGGGACAAATCACCTGATCAGTGCAATTTGCAAAAAGTTTACTAGAAACGCGGTGATTTTTGCATAAAATTAAGGATTAGGCGGTTTTCTGCCATCTATACCCCAAATGTGGTGGTTTTTTTTGCAATTAACTCGTTTTGAAGATATCATCGAGACGAATAGCATGGTCGACGCGGATCGCGAATCAGACACCCTGCTTTAAAAAATTATATCATTTTCTTAGTTTGTACAAAATGTTAAATGCACAGACTAAATTATTGGAAATAGAACCTGTAGTACACTAGTAGACCTGGTACCGGACCTATGCCCCCGGAATTTTTTTTGCCAGTACCAAGCTGTTAATGAGCAGGATAGAGCATGGCCAGCTAGCTCAAATACACCATCGAAGAAAAACGGGTCGAGTTTCCACAAGCCCCGGAGTTTTCCGTGGAAGAAAGGCGGAAGGAGACGACGGGTTAGGCCGCACCGGAGAGTGACGTCCATTGGCATGCACGATACGTACATACGCCATGTCGCCATGCCGTGCACCTTCGGTTTTCGCGGAGTCAAAGTAGCTGCGCTGATTAAAGTAGGCAGGGCGCAACACGACCACGTACGCAGGCAGGCGGGCGGAGGACGTGTATAAAAGGGGGGCCTGCTGCAGCTGCATAGGCACACACCAGCTCTAGTAGCAGATACAGGGAGCTAAGCTAGCAGCAATGGCGACAAAGGATGTTGCTTCCATGTTTGCCGTTGCTCTCTTCATTGGAGCGTTCGCTGCTGTTCCTACGAGTACGGCTTGACATTTCTCTCGTGTTCTTGTAGTATTTTCTATCTGCTTTGCATGCATGCACCTACTGTCGTCGGTGTGGTTGTGGGGCAAATCAAATTCATGCATGGAGTTCGATCATGCTGTTTTTTTTTAAATGTACCACTGGATAATTTATCTATTTCCTTGATGGAATTTTGTTATGTATTGCTACTATTATGCAACATTAATCTTTATGGGCCATTTCGAAGGAAATATTATAGTCTCTTTCGTTTGTAGGATGCTAAAGATGGTAGAAACAGAAAGGGCGTGACTAGGTCTCAGTCTCAATTAAGTGATATAGTATACGAATTTCCATGCATAATCAAAGGAATATAGCATCGACCGAGACATAATGATGTCTCGGTCGACTGCTTAGCAAAACTGAATCAGAAAAACGAAGGATTTGAGTGTCATGCCTATATTAGAATAAATTAAATATGTACCAACTTTTTTGTATGTGCCATTGAAAGCAAGGAGGGATTATTTTTAAGAAATTTAGGTGGATACAATTCTTTTCGAAATGCCGTGCAAAGTAATTGCTGTTAAAGACTTCGTTTGAGATTTAGGACACAAAATTAAAAATATTAATTAATTAATTAAGGCGGCGCCTACATAGTTATTCACGCAAACGCCTACGATAGCTAAACGGATGCCACTCTTATCCGCATGCGCGCAGGTGTGCAATCCATCGGCGTGTGCTACGGCGTGATCGGCAACAACCTCCCCTCCCGGAGCGACGTGGTGCAGCTCTACAGGTCCAAGGGCATCAACGGCATGCGCATCTACTTCGCCGACGGGCAGGCCCTCTCCGCGCTCAGCAACTCCGGCATCGGCCTCATCCTCGACATCGGTAACGACCAGCTCTCCAACATTGCCGCCAGCACCTCTAACGCGGCGTCCTGGGTCCAGAACAACGTGCGGCCCTACTACCCGGCTGTGAACATCAAGTACATCGCCGCCGGCAACGAGGTGCAGGGCGGCACCACGCAGAGCATCGTCCCGGCCATGCGGAACCTCAACGCGGCCCTCTCCGCCGCGGGCCTCGGCGCCATCAAGGTGTCCACCTCGATCCGGTTCGACGCGGTGGCCAACTCGTTCCCGCCCTCCGCCGGCGTGTTCGCGCAGTCGTACATGACGGACGTGGCCCGGCTCCTGGCGAGCACCGGCGCGCCGCTGCTGGCCAACGTGTACCCCTACTTCGCGTACCGCGACAACCCGCGGGACATCAGCCTGAACTACGCGACGTTCCAGCCGGGCACCAGCGTGCGTGACCAGAACAACGGGCTGACCTACACGAGCCTGTTCGACGCGATGGTGGACGCCGTGTACGCGGCGCTGGAGAAGGCGGGCGCGCCGGGCGTGAAGGTGGTGATTTCCGAGAGCGGGTGGCCGTCGGCGGGCGGGTTCGCGGCGTCGGCGGACAACGCACGGACGTACAACCAGGGGCTGATCAACCACGTCGGCGGGGGCACGCCCAAGAAGCGGGAGGCGCTGGAGACGTACATCTTCGCCATGTTCAACGAGAACCAGAAGACCGGGGACGCCACGGAGAGGAGCTTCGGGCTGTTCAACCCGGACAAGTCGCCGGCCTACAACATCCAGTTCAAGTAGCTATCTTATACTACTATACCATACCTACATCTTCATCCTAAATAAGCTGCAAAATGCGGCATGCAAGTGTAACGACACGTACATGTACATTCATCCATGGAAGAGTGCAACCATGCACGCGTTAACTTCCGGCCGGGCGATGATACATCATCATATGATAATAAAGAGATGGAAGCAGTTATGAATTGTGATCCATATGCCTCCAGCCATGCCGACCTACACATCATCCATCTGCTCACGCGGCGACCTCGCCAGTAACGTGCGCCGGCCTCGACGTACGACCATGAGTCCACTACGCCGGCGACTTGATCGCCAGATCTCCGGGCCTGGGCGAGCCGTTACAATCCGGCGGGTCAAAGGGTTTGCGAGCATACGTCAAGTGGTGCACCCATGCTTCTTCTTACTTAAGTTAGAGCATATCTCCAGCCGTTGGCTCCTCAGGGGGCGCCTAAAATCGCCGTCTGGGGGTGACCCGGCACAAAAAGTGGGTCTGGGGCGAGTTGGCCCCCCAGCCGCCGCCCCCAGGGCCGGCCGCAGGCATGAAAATAATAATTAGGCAAACTTGGGCTAAAACACGCCACTTTTCGGTAAACTTGGGCTTTTATATTCGCAAATTTGGGCTAAAACACGCCATTACATATAAAAACTAGTCAAAAAAAAACTTGCTGAAGGCCGAGAAGTCGCCGTCGTCGCCGCCATCGTCGGCCTTCTCCTCCTTGACTCGGGCGTCCCTGCTGGACCCCTCCCCGGCTGGTGCGGCGGCGGCGACGCGTCATCGTCGTCGTCGCTATCGTCGATGATGACACCGCCGCCTTCGTCGCGGCCTCGGCGGCGCTGCGCGAAGCGCTCTAGGTGGCGCGCTGGCGCTCCCTCGCCATCTTTAGGGAGTCTTGGCGTGCCCATTCAAGGGCCGCGTCGTCGTCGAGCACGACTTCGCCGTGCTCCGCCTTCACCGGCGCCAACAGCCCCGACTCCGTCTTCACCGGAGCCAGCCCCGGCTCCGTCTTCACCGGCGCGAGACCCGGCTCCGTCTTCGGCTTGACGAAGCGCGGGGGAGGAGCTGACGAGGAGGCGCGCCGGCCGCCCTCGCTGATGACGATGCCGACGCTGCATGTACGCCGGCCGAGCGGCGTCTCCGCCGTGGGCTCGGCCTTGACGCCGAGCAGCGATGGAGTGCCAGAGGATTGGGAGGAAGAACGCGACGAGGAAGAGGAGGAGGAGGAGCCGAACCTCCTCGGCGCCCATTGCCTGTCGCGTCGGCGGTGCATCGGGGCGGCCGTCCTCGCCGGGGGGTACGCCAACGGTGGGTTGTTGCCGCCCTCGAGGTGCGTCAGCACGCCGTCGAGGGTGCGGCCGGGTACGCCCCACCAGAGGTGGCGCCCCTCGCTGTTCTTGGTGCCGCCGACCACCGGCGCCCCGTTGGTGGACGCCATCCGTTGCTGCTGGCGGCGCTCGAAGTACGCCCGACCAAGACGTGTTGTTGTCTGCGGCGTACTGGGGAAGGGAGCGCTCGGCGTCGGTGAGAGAGGCGCGCGCGATCTCGACCCCGTCGGCAAAGTACGATGGCTTGGTGACGGCTTCGGGTAACGGGGGAATGGGCACTCCCCCATTGCTGAGCCTCCAGCCCGTCAGGCCGGCGCGCATGTCCGGCGGCACCGGGATGTTTGCCTGGAACAGGAGCCAGGACTCATGTTCGCGGAGCGAACGGCGGCCGAAGCCGTTGGCCGCCGCCTCGTCTCCGGGGAAATGCTCGGCCTTCGGGGAGAGGGAGTGGCTAGGGAGAAGAGGGCGGGAGAGGGAGGGCTGGGGAGGCACATCAACGCAGGCGAGCGAGACCATATATTGCCGCGCCGCGTCCGTGTGTACGCGTCCGAGGAAGGGGAGGCGTAGGCGCGGCGCCCCATGACGCGCTGTCCGTGAGGAATCAATGGCAAAGCTGACCGGCGGCAGCCTTGTCATTGATTCCCCGCGGGAAACCGAGGCGTCAGGAAGACGAGGCGGGCGGTGTCGCTGACGCGGCTGCCGCACGACACGGCTGCTCCACGACTCGGCTGCCCCACGGCGCTTTCGCGCCAAAAAAGATTCGCCCGGCGCCCCCGAGCGCCCCAGCGCGCCGGGTTTGGTTTGGGTCCGCCGGCGTCAATTTCGCCCGAGCCAAATGAGCCCCTGGAAACGCGACTGAGCCGATTTTTTGACGCCGGCGATCAAAAAGTCGTCTGGGGAGCCGTTGGGGCGCGGCTGGAGATGCTCTACGTTGCCTGCCCGGCCCGTCCACCCATGTACGTGTGATGGGTAACCGGCAGCAATCGCGACGAGACAGGAACACGGCCTCTTAATTTGCCGTAGGTGGCCACCCGGCCCCGGCCTGGCCGTGATACATAGCGAGAGGAGTGAAAGGTCCAATTTTTCAGGTAGGTTCTCGTATATGTCTCACAAAAATGCAGGCCTTTGAATTATGAAAATCTTCGTATCGGTCATCAATGTGCAATATGTGTGTCATTTAGATGCTCAAAATATGTCAGAAATGCCACATATATAGGTCCTCGAACTATTTCAGAGATGTCATACAAACACACACTTATTGCACTTCAAAGAATCTTCCAAGACCTAGATTACATTTTTCATAGTTCGAGGGACTATATGACACCTCTGAAATAGTTCAGGGACCTAGAATGCACTTCACTTTAACGAGAGGCTATGGATGCCGGACAGGAACACGCCGTCTTAATTTGTGTCAGGGCTACTTGTGCCTGTACCGATTCTTAATTTGCAACAGTAGCACGACGGCCCATATCTGCGGCCATAGGTTCGCTCGGCTTGTAGCTGTAGTTGTAGATCCGCTTTACTTTGGGTTTTTTCTTTTTGTTTAATTTTGCTTTTTCCTTCATTTTCTTTGTTTTTAACTAGCTTTCTTTGGTTTTCCTTTTTTCCTTTTACTTTAGGTTTCTTTGTTTTCTCATTCTTTTTTTGCTTTCTCTTTATTTGTTATACTTTGTTTTCTTTTGTTTATTTCCTGTTTTTCTTCGTTTTTTTGGGATTTTTTGCTTTTTCATTTGTTTCTTTGTCAGATACATTAGGAACTTTTTTTACAAATATTTATTTCTTTCAAATACATGATTAACATTTGTCGGCTATTCATTTTCATACAAATATAAACATTCTCTTATAATGTTTCACATTTTTCAAATACATTATTACAATTACATGCTTTGAATATTTTTTCAAATACATGTTAAACTTTTTTAGATACACTTTGGAACAATTTTTTAATCAGAAAAACATTTTCTGTACTATGCAATTTTTTACACTGTGCAGACATTTTTTTTGTAACAATGTTTCAAATAATTTTTCTGAAATTTTGGAACAATTTTGAATCTAACATAATTTCTTTTAATTACAAGAACATGAATTTACAACATATAAACATTTTTCATACACATGATTAAAAGTTTCTACCATTTTATTCACATGTCCATTTTTCATATATATGCAAAATATTTTTCTATAGATGTTTCATATTTTTCAAATGCAAGATTAATATGTTCAAAAATTATGTACACTAATTTTTGTAATATATATGCAAAAAAATGGCAGGATAATATGTGCTATAGGTTGATGGAATAATTTGGACGCAATGCATGTATCAAAACATATATAAGGGACAAAATTATCCTAATTAACCTGTATTCCTAAGTTGTGTACATCGGCGGTGATTATCGGAAGAATCAGATTGGTTTATTTCAGGTGTGACAACTGGTTGTGACTGATGGCTTATATGTCTTAATGGCTACCATATTTCATAGAAGAAGTTGCGGCGATATCGATATTTGCAAAGCATGCACAAAAAGTTGCCTTCAATGGAAGCAGATTGTAGCCTATACGTCTTAATAAATATATCGCAGAAAACAATCCAGGGTATGAAATTCATATGGTATCTAATATGCATGGAAACAAATGGATGGTGCATATGTTCGCATAGCAATGCAAGAAGCAGGAGACTGCTACAAAAATGAAATGAAGCCAATCCGAGGAGCAAGATACCTACTAAACAGAAGTTGAAGCACATGTCGATCTGGAGAGCAATCTGCAAAATATTTACAAATAAGTTGGGGGATAGTAGAAATCTCGGGTGACTGAAAACAGGAAGCGTGCACCAGGAGGGAAATAACTACAATGTAAATGCACAAATAAATTAGTAAAATGATGATATTGGCTTTTGTACTATGTCCATCCTAAATGAAAACATGTGCAGCTCCCATTACTAACCAATTTGTGCAAGCATGTATCATATTGAATAGCAATTTTACGAAATAAGAATATGAAAGAAATACAAGGGCAAGCGATATGTGGAAGTAATGTAGCCAATGTGAGCAGCAAAAAACCTACACGCTCAACATCCTTCATCCCTAGCCAAGCCTGAGAAATTGGAAAGCATAGTCTTGTGAGGATAGAAATACTCACGGAGGGCTGAAAAGAGGGAGTGTGCACCTACTAGGGCAGAAGTCGGTTCTTAGACGTGGATGTGAGCAGGCGTTCGTGGTCAATGAGTATGGCAGTACAGAGGGGTTATGAACACATCTTTGCCCGCATTTGCAGGGCAATATAGCAGAGATAATGAGGGCTAGAAATTAAGTGTCGTGAGGCCATTACATGTGCATTTGTGGCATGAAGGTGGAAGAGATTGCAGCATAAAAGCGGGGAAGACGAATGAATTATGTGGAGCAGCGGACGGGTTGGCTGTGGTCACTGGCAGGGGGGCATTGAGTGCGGCAGCTTAAGTCACCTGCGGTGACTGGCCATGAGGAGCATAGACTGTGGCGGCAGCGCTGGTATAGCGTGGACGTGGCGGCGGATTTTTCCCGCATCTTTGGTGAGGTTACTCATAGGGGACCGCCAGCGGTGAGGCCGGCTGGCTGGACCCAAGCAGGGGTGGTGGTGGCTGCTGGGAGAGCATGAGGGGCCGCAGGGGCTGGCCGTGGAAGGGTAGGTGATGGCACAGT